TTTTTTTTTTTTTTTTTTTTTTGAGACAGAGTCTTGCTCCGTTGCTCAGGCTGGAGTGCAGTGGTGTGATCACAGCTCAGTGCAGCCTCAACCTTCAGCCTCAACCTCCTGGGCTCAAGCAATCCTCCCATCTTAGCCTACCAAGTAGCTGGGACTATGGGTATACCCCATCATGCCTGGCTAATTTTCTGTTTATTTATTTTTTATAATGATGGGGTCTCACTATGTTGCCCAGGCTGGTTTCAAACTCCTGAATTCAAGTGATACTTCCACCTCGGCCTTCTAAAGTGCTGTGATTACAGGTGTGAGCCACCACAGCCAGTAGGAACTTTCAGTACTCAAGACTCTGCATGGTACACTTCTGTTTTTATGAGAGTGTGTCACACCCCTTGAGTATATAGGAGGCAGAAACAGTTTTAGGCCATGGCCTATTTGGAGGCTTAATGTGGGGCTCTTTTATCTATCTTTGATTTCCAGAAGTCCCTAAGTTAGCTGAGTCAGCTTATTGGGACTATCCTAAAGGAATGCCATTGTGAAAAACTAACAGGTGTAAGCCCTGTTGTAGTTGGGTGAGTAACAGTATTGGTTATAAACATGGTAAAACATGGTATTTTCCATTTGTCATCAGTTTTGCTGTTTACTTTTGTACTTTGTTCAGCTAGGTGAAACTGGAGTGTTTGGCTTGCCAGTCATAGGCTTTGGTGTTCTGGTTTTTGCACTCATTTTATTTGTGTTACATGTTTTGATTCAGATTAACATGATAGGTATTGGTTGAATAGGAGACTGGTTTTCATTTGAAAACGTTTTTTTCACTTAAATGATAATTGAGATGGCTTAAAATGTTTTAGAGGGTCTACATTTCAGGAATGCGGCTCCTTTCTTGTTTTAGGAATTGTTTCCTGACATAGAGGCAGATTTGTATCTGGTTTAGGAGAATTGTGCCTCCTTTGTCCTCGCTAGCAGGAGTTCCTGTTGCTCATTTTGGTGTGGATGTGCACCGAATGATGGTTGTTGTGACCCTGAGGCCCAGAGAGCAGCCTGAAAGCTTTGGTGGGATCTTTAATTGTGTATCTTTAACCTTGGGGCAAGTTCGCTCACCACCTCAGTGTTCAGAAGAGACCAAAGCAAATGTAAGTGAGGAAAATGAGGTATAGGCCACAGCACGTTGGGAGGAGGAGGTAACCTTAGCTGTCTGGATGACCAGGGAGGGAGGGTGCAGCCCAGCTCTCCCCATCCGAGAAGCTGCCATCCTGGCGGCTACCTGCTTTCCTCCCCGAGTGCTCTGGCCATCCGTCAGGCTCCTGGGTAG